CAAAAGCTGTAGAAATCAAATCTGAAAAACTCGACTTGATCATATTATACTGACAAGTTTTCAATAACTTTTTTTTTTAAATATGACGAGACGATTAAAATAGCATTGAAGAAAAAAGACCGTCATCCTTCGTTGATATTTTTTTCTGTAAGGACAGTTAGAGGAACCTTACATGTATTTCAAATTGTAGCAGTTGTCAAATTTGAAGGATCGAAGTGTTTCTCTAAGGTTGCAAAAATGAGCGAAAAGTAAACTTATCAGTATTTTTATTGCGTAGTGAGTCACGCGTTTCAATAGTGTTTTTTTTTCGTTGTTTGCTCATATTCACCTTCCATATACGTCAATACTTGCGTACCCACGCATACTCGATGTTATGATGAAACGAAAAATAAACACCAATAAAACACCCCAAATCAACACATTAATGTGCACAAGGTGATACATTTTTGTACATTTTATTTCAACGAATATGACTTACGTTAGAAATAAATAAATGAAGCATAGCATAACATTACTTTTAACATAGCGTACACATTCTGATTTCGTTTCTAGACGAAGATGGGTGACGCCGATTTTGATCAAGTACCTCACATCTTATTCAATGGTATATCCAATCTTCGAAGACGAGGCTGCCCTGGAACTCTCATTCCGTTGACGCACAACACACGTGCTGTTCTATGCGGTAATGATTCAAACGAAGTCATTGCAGTTGCGATTCGATTCGGCGATGGCAAATGTTTGGTATTTGCACACTGTGATTATCCATACATTTTTCTCAATGGTGAAGTCGATGATCAAAATTTTGTCAAAAATTGTCGACAATGGCTTATTCAAGATGAAAATGCCCAATTTGTATCTATTAACGATGCCAGTTCGATGAACGATGTACAATACTACGGGAAAATTCTCGTTTGGGATGGACATTGTATAAAAGACGAAACATTCATGAACGATCTGGTGAGGATTTTTTTCTCAACGATCCTTTGTTGAATATTGTCTTTGATTTTGTTTAGTGTGTATATTTGCAACAAGGCGGTGCACTCATTTGTGGATCAGTCGCATGGGGTTGGTTGCAAGTAAATAAGGGAAAATTTCTTTCGGATTTTCCATTCACGCGTTTTTGCGATTATATTGGCGTTAAAGTAACCGACAACTACAGCAATTGTCCCGATCCGATTCCGTTTCGATCTGAATTGATCGAATTCAAAAATATTTATCATGTCGTTCAAGAACTTGCCAATGATCCGAATAATATTAAAAATTTGACTATCATCGGATCGGCCCTTAAAGAACTAGGCGATACTTTGCCTGGTGTAGTGGCCGAAACACTGCAGAACATTGTGCTGAACGCCGGTAATGAATTAGTACCAGCGAGAAGTTGTCCAGTTCTGGATAAATCTTGTCGAGAGCAATCGACTGGCTTGTGTGGTATTCTATGTGGTTTACCCGGTATCAAAGCTTGCGGTGAGTGAAATATTAGATCCAATGTGATATTTCATTGAAGAGATTAATTTTAGGTATACATTGTTTTCCTGGCGACTTTGATCAACCACCGCGTATCGAAACGGATGTTATATGCCATATTGACTCGAATGTCAACGAATGGTATTGCACAGGTGTAAGAAGACTGACGAAAGTTGGCAGATTTTTTTTACCAAGGTCTAGTTCACTTTCTTAGGATACTACGTCGCTGCTGGTATTCCGATAAAAATTGATATAGTAGAACAAGTAGGTGCAACCGGATGGTCAGCTCGAATTGGTTGTCATAGCGATAATCTCGAGGTATGTCTTTAGAAAAATAATTTCTGTTTTTTATACAGTAGAATGAAATATTCTTGATTAGAGCTGTGACGAATTACGTCGATGGTCATGTATTTCAATATGTAAACCTTTGACTGGCACTAGTGTTCGAATGAGCTCTCCCTTCGGTGGTCTTCTATTTCTACAAAGTCCTGATGGTGAATCGAATTTGATTATTGTTCGTCTTCATCACGTTGTTCTAACACCGACTTATGATCTTACGGATCCGTATCGAGAAATAACATGGCAAGATCGACGTGAATACGAAGGTCTCTGGGCTGATATTGCCGGACAGCATATTGTCTTCAACCTTCCTTCGAAAAGTGTACACAATTTGGATAGTGCTCAATTAGATGAAGTTCTACAGTTCTGGGACACTGTAGTACTTGCCCATCATGAACTACGAGGTACGACACCAAAACATCGTGAGCGTATCGTTTGTGACGAACAACCGTCAGTTGGTTATATGCGTAAGAATATTCAATTTAAGAATTTCTCTTGTTCAATAGTTTCTACCATCTTTTTAGATAGCGGCTATCCGATTATGACACATTTGGACGTGTGTGATCCAAAATCGAATGAATTTATATTGAATGGTCCACATTTGAAAAAAAACGGTTGCTGGGGTCTTTTTCACGAACTCGGTCATAACATGCAGCGAGATTGGTGGAGTAAGTACTCGATCGATTGACATCGATCTATCTTACATATTTTGTTTAGCATTTGCTGGTAGCGTTGAAGTGACCGTGAATATTTTCACTCTACATGCCATGGATACAGTTTGTCATATACAACCATGGATTCATTCTTGGCTTCGGGATCAAATATCGGATATAAAGAAATATATTGAGAACGGATCAAAATTTCATGCATGGAAAAACTCTCCTGGTGTTGGCCTGTTCGTCTATGCACAACTTGTGCGAGAATACGGTTGGGACAATTATAAAGCCGTCTTTCGTCAATATGAACAAACCCGACCCGTTCTTCATAACGATCAAGAAAAGATGGACCGTTGGATCGAAACGTTTTCGCGTCAAGTTGGCTATAATCTGATTCCATTATTCAAATTCTGGGGTTTTCCTGTTTCGCAATCGACTATCGATGCTCTTCTAACTTTGGAGATTGCAGATATTTCCGATGAATTCATCGAAATGGCACCCGAGCGCTATCAAATCTAGGACAACTCTCTCTAATAAATACGAACAGAAAGTTCATTGAATCATATATTTCACAATAAATAAAAACAGGGTGTGGGTGTGGGGGTAGAGGTGGAGGTGGGGTGTGCATATAGAGTATATCCGCTCGCATACCCACCCACACCCCACACCCCACATTCATACCCGCACTCACACTCACACCCTGCTTTGTAATAAATGAAAAAGTCTTCACTCGATTTTCATCGGGTTGCATCATTTGGATTGTAGTTTTTTTATGAAGTGTAAACGAACTGTAATCAAAATCAATCTTATAACTCATGAAATTTTGATTTCTTTTGATTATTTTTTTATTAAAATCGTTTAGAGGATATGATGAAAAATGTGTAAAAAATGCATGATAACAATCAATTTTCAATCCGTATTAATTTGATTTTATTCTGAATTTTTATGTATATGGATGTGAACGAGTTGAAAAATGTTGTTGTTCATTTCTTTTTATAACGGTGAACGTTATAGGTTTTCTACCTAGACTTTAATTCTTTATAAGCTTGATAGCTAGCTATCAAATGCGACCGTGTTTCCTGGCACAACAGGAACTAACTGATAAAGGCTATTAAAAAAGCAATAGAAAAATAACCTAAGTAAAGTGTGCGGGTGTGGGTGTGGTTCTGTTTTCATTTCAACCATTACTACCACACACCCGCATCCACACTCACCCACACCCACACTCCCACGCCCACACCCACCTACACCCACACCCACACCCACACCCACCACACACCCACAC